CAAGCCAAGGGCCAAGCCCGTAGAACTCACGCTAGACGCGTTTCGCGGATTGTTGGGTGGGCATCACCATTGGGCATGTAAGGCATATATCCATTTTTGCTGAAAGGTGGAGTGGTGCTGGACCTGCACGATTGCTCCGCACTGCTTCCGTGCCAGTGTACGTGTGCCAGCTACATGGGAGAAATATAAAGTTCTCCGCCGACAGGTGGAAACCAATGGGCAGAAGGGACCGCACCAATGCGGTTATCACATTACGACATCCTTATCATTTCTTAGAGCCTGGCGCTGATCCCCGTAACATCCTGTAGCCGGCAGCTATATTCAAGATGTGCATCTCAATTATCGGATTTTGCACTTTGATTTTGGTGTCCGCAATGCTTTTAGCGGTGGATGCTAAGCCAGTGCCGCAGGAAGAGGCTGGACTGCCTCGGACCCACCCGTTGGTCAATACTCTATTGGGCGAATCCTACTGCTGTACCGACTACCCGTTCGAGCGCACCGCGCAGGCCGTGCTTGTATGCTACATCTACAACAGAAGACACCTCCAGCAGATCCGCTCATGGGAGTCGTGGCTAAAACGGACCTATCTGCGCTCCGAGAAACCAGCTACCACCGCCACGAGTAGTAATCCCACCGAAAGCACCAGCAGCACCAGCAGCACCAGCAGCAGCAGCAGTAGCAGTAGTAGTAGTGGAAGCCCAGAGCCAGACTATCATCGCATGCTCGATGTTTATGTGAAGGCTCCGGGCGTGAAGGTGGTCGGAATCTCCCACAAGCAAAGCAATGCCAATGGATCGAGAAACGCAAGTACAGGTATGGTCATTGCAAACCTACGGCAGCACACAGGTCCTTTTGTACTTCATAGTTTATTTTATATGCGCGAAACATTCGAGGCATTGTAGCTGGCTTTGCGATTGAAATGCCGATGCACTGGTGTTTTTCCTTTCTTGTTGCCTGGCCCGTCGAAAAGGACAGACCCTGTATTGGTGCCGAATGCACAATGGCGTTTGTTTGGTCCAAAAACGTCCTAGAGACCGCAGAGTTCTGCTGAGTTCTGTAGACGAGCTCTGTTCTAGGATGGGGCTCGGTTTGCAGCAAGCAGAACGGCGCGCTTCTAATGCGAACAATTATTTCGTCAAGCGGAACACGAGACGGCGCAAACCCAGCATCATACACACTGTGGTAGTGCGGAACATCAGCATGACTCAGAAAGAACAAAAAGCAATTCGGACAGAAAAATGGCGTTGTGTGAGCTTGTGACAACCCCCCCCCCCCTACTTGGAGTCAGATCCCAGTAGGGAAGTCACAAAAAAAAACACCTGCTGTCCGTCCGTCCGTATTTATTTATTATTATTATGTCCGTCTCCGACTGTCTGCAATTTCTGGACAAGGTAGTGACACAGATATGCTTTGAACCTTTCCCTGCGTATACTGTGGCCACGACATGTTGTGGAACATCAGGTGGTAATGGAGTAACTGACTCTGCAAGCTTGGTCCACTGCTTGTGCTGAGGGTGACGAGACTTTTGCAGCTTCCAAGTGTCTTGTTACCTCTTGAACCTACGGGCAGAAAGCCAAGATAGTAATTCAATAAGTGGCGCAGGCCATGCACTATATTTACACCAGGACACCGCTGCTCATGCTTTTTAAATAGTCTATCCAGGCACAGGCTGCCTAATCTACAGGGGCAGAACAGCTGCATTGGTCGGCAAGGGTATCTTGCTTTTCCATGCTAGATTCGTGACATTCCGCCGAGTATCGATTTTTCATTGATGATGCGTTTTGCAACATGGTTGCATGCAGTTACTGAGCCTAATCTACTGCTTGACTTAACTAACTTCGCAGCTTTCTTCCTTAGCCTGCTAGTGCTAGTGATAACGGTCATTGCCTGAGGTCAGGCAGGGTGAAGAGCTCATAATGCAAAACACCCAAAATCATACTTCCCCTCCCCAAGGCACTCCTGCACTCCAAAGTCCTGAAGAAAACGGTGATAATTGAAATGATAATGTCACCCCCCACTGTCTATTGTCCCTAAAGGTCCAGGTAATTACTCACACCTAGTAAGTGGCCACTCTGTGCCAGTAACGCTACAAGTGCCAGTGGCAATGGCATGTATTCATGCCTTGCTGCCGGAATGTTCCTGTGTGTGTGTGTGTGTGTGTGTGTGTGTGTGTGTGTGTGTGTGTGTGTGTGTGTATGTGTGTGTGTGTGTGTGTTCAAAAACAGTCGTTGCATTTTATAGTGGACCTGCAGCAGACTGTTCATCTGGTTTGTGATATTTCTTTCCTCTGTTGCAGTGTTGGTGAGTTCTTTTCCATCAATATGGCAGCTTGTTTTGATTTCCTTTTCTCTTTTTTTCAATTCATTCTGCTGTACTTCCTGTTTTGTTTTGCACCACTGCCCCTCACCTTGCGCTTAGCTCTCTGAGTGGAGGGCGGCGTGACCCCACTGGGGTAGCTGATTGATGGTGGTAGGAGTAGTAGTAGTAGTAGTAGTGTGTGTGTGTGTGTGTGTGTGTGTGTGTGTGTGTGTGTGTGTGTGTGTGTGTGTGTGTGTGTATGTGTGTGTGTGTGTGTGTGTGTGTGTGTATGTGTGTGTGTGTGTGTGTGTGTGTATGTGTGTGTGTGTGTGTGTATGTGTGTGTGTGTGTGTGTGTGTGTGTGTATGTGTGTGTGTGTGTGTGTGTGTATGTGTGTGTGTGTGTGTGTGTGTGTGTGTGTGTGTGTGTGTGTGTGTTTAGGTTCACATGCATGTGCACAGTCAGCCAATTCTTCTACCTAGGAAAATTCCAAGCAAGATGGAAGGGGCTGCAGCTGCAGGGGATAACAATTAGTGTACATGTATTTGTGTGATGAGACTGGTAGTCCTGTTGCCCTGGGTCATGCAGATTGAGTGTCAAACACCTGGGTTCAAAAAACTGTATTATGTACAACTGATACTGTGTGTTTCTGAGTGGCTGCAGCCCCTGAGGGTTCGTTTCTAGAATCTGAAGTAGCCTTCTGCATTCCATTCCGATGGGCTTGGTTTATCCGAAACCGTGGCGAAAGCAGCCTGCACATGATGGTATGGGAATCTGGATTTGGCCTTCGTGACCTAGGTTACAGAGACTGTCAGAGAGCACGCTGTTTGGTGGTTGTTCTTGATATGGAGGAGTGGTACTTGAGCGACTGTAGATTGTTCAGGTGGTGCAGATCCTGCTGTTCTCTTACTCCTTCAGGAAAGGCATTCATCGTGTGTTGCTCACGAACTGTCATGCAACTTCAGTGGATTCTTTCCAAACCAGGAATGCTAAGAGGCAGCACGGAGATAGTGTAGCTGACACAATTGGAGAACTTCTCCTACAGACCCGACGCACAATATCAAAATCATTATCTCAAAGGTTTCTCAGATAGCTCTTTAGACCGTATACCGGTATGTTTTTTAGGGCGTTCAGACGTTTGAGGGACTGAAAAGGGAAAACGTTTACTGCACATGCAGCATTCAATTTTGTTCTTTTCCGAAGTGTCAAAATTGTCTCGTTGTAAACGGGAGGATCAAAAGGGGTGGCAGTAAGACCTGGTGCACTTGGCCAACCTGAGGTTTGGACTTGCTAGTTTGCTGGATGCCCCACAGTACAGATCTTACACAACTCTGTCTCTATATCTCTACCCGGCGAATATCAAACCAGTTTGGCGATCATGTCAGTCCTACATTGTATAGGGAGCCAAGCAATTTGCAAGCAGTTCAATTGAGCTTGTTACGAAAGCGGAGTGTAGGAGAATGACAGGATAATTGGTTATCTAGTTTGTAACACAACCACCAAGTGCTGTCACTGAGTGTCAGTCACCTCGGAGATGCGTCTTGACTTGGAAATCCTAGAATAGAGTTTTTTTACGGGAGCTCCCCAGGACGAAATGGATTGCTCTGAACACGTAATATTTCTGTAACAGTTTTGTCTGCAGATTGAGTACTAGTATAAGAGTTTTGTTTAATGAGGGTGATATCTTATCACATCGCAAAGCCATGGCCAGCCTTTCCCCGCGTCCAATTAGGCTAGCATGCCGCCGTATCGCAATATGTCAGATGTACTTGAACGAATTGAGTAGCGTGGGATTGGTATGCATGTTGGCATGGTTGTACCTACACCTGCACTCCAACCTTGACACTCCATAGGGTACCCTATCACTGTGCTTCCGCTCATGTATAGTCATGGACCGTGATGCAGTCAATAACACTTGAAAACAACTGAGTGGTAAGAGGGTACAATCGTGTAATCATATATTGCTGGCTAATGACTTTAAAAACTCATCATGGTCGCATCTCTCCTGTCCTTCTTTCCGCTGCAGGATCCCCACGGGTGTCTGTCAATGGCGGAATGGTCAAGCCAGGCAGAGGTGTGATGGAGCTGAGTGGTTTGAGACTGCTGCAGCGCTATCACCGCACAATGTTCCGGCTCTCGTCCAGGGAAAATGTGCCACTGGCAGCAGCCCTCTTCCTCCCATTGGAGAACCTTACTACGGGACAGTCGGCCGATAGCGAGGCCGGGGCTGGCCACATGCAGCACCGCATCAACATGTGGGTGACGGTGAAGTGGCACATGACGAACGAAGACGGCAGTGTTGTGAACGAGCAGCCCACACGCTACGCCTGGCAATGCTCCATCGACATGCCCACGGTGCAGCACATCACGGAGGAGCACTGGTTGGCCTTGGATATGCAGGCCTTCTTCAGGATGACCTTCAAACAGGAAGCGGAGTTCAGCCATCCTCCCTTCTTCCTCACCGAGCAACTCAGGTCTTCTGATTTCCACACTGATAAGCTACACATCACCCTCCAGAGTGGACAGGTGCACTTGAACACGTCGGCAAACGACATTACCATCCTAGACGTTGAGGCGGAGTCCAATGATCCGACTCGCAGGTGTGCTGAAGTCCTTACCCTGCCCTGCTCGCTGGGACAGCGCGGTCAGTTACAGTGGGAGCCCTTCCTGGCCTTCGCAAACGACGAAACGCCAGAGAAACCTCCCGTGCATTACACCTTGGATCCGCAGCAGCCGGCGCTCATCGAGGTGACGGAGACGCTTTCGTCAACTCAACCAACCGCCCTTCCACCGTTTGAGCGCCTGCAGCTCCACGTGTAAGGATAGGAACACTGGATAGAATGGTATAAGTGAGATTGAACTGAGCTGCAGTCCTCAATGTCAGGGATTACCGGCTGGTCTGGGACTTGAGCCATACATGTACATTCTACCTGACATACTGGCTGATCTGACAGAATCAGCACCCTATCCCCTCTCTGACTTCTACTGCAATCCACTATTGTATTAACTTTGTAGCCTATTATATTTCACGAATTATTGGTGAATTTGTCGCTCTGAGCCTGTCCAAGAGACCCTTGTCCACATCAGGTGCAGTAGTGTCTCGGCGCTCAGTTTAATCAGTGCCTTCTGCCGGAACACAGAGTGCATCCCATGCTCAAGGCAGGACAAGGTACCTACAGGTGTGAAGGACAATAATTATTACGGATATTGCAAGCCGACGGTGGAGCGGCATTGTCAAATCTATGTAAACACCTACCTGCATTTCCGACCTCGACACATCTACGACCGGGAACTATAGTCGGTATCGTGCTTTAAGCTGGTGCCTAACGTTATCACATGACTTACTTTACAGTCAACTTTGCGTGTAACGACACTCGGCGGGGCATCAGAAAAGTGTCCTTATTCGCGAAGTCTCATTGTTGTATACAGCTAGATGGGACTTTGCTCTGGGCATGGAAATCCTGTCGTTCCTCGCGAATTGTCGTTATATCCGCAGTCGTTAGGAGCGAAGTTGGCTGTATTTTATTTCTCGCATACACGAAGGCGTAGTGAACACATGAAATACCGAAGTTAGTCCTTTGCGGATTCTGCCGGCAGAAAAATTGGCAGAATTCGGCACTTTTTCTGGTAAGTTTCATGCATGTTTGGTATGTGGATAAAGAAGTGGAGCAGAATTCGAGGAAATGCCCGCCATAAGGTTTGTATGGTTCTGCCAATTTCACTGCTTTTCGAGCAGAATCTGCCGCCTTTTCGAGCATTATCCGCCAATGCCTAACCGAAGTTCATGTAGTTTCAGGTGCTGCTGCTAGCTAGTACAGTGCTCCTCAATGAAATCCGGTCAAGCCATGCAGTCAATGCCATGCAGTCAATGCCATGCAGTCAATGAAATCCGGTCAAGCCATGCAGTCAATGCCATGCAGTCAATGCCATGCAGTCAATACCATGCAGACGGTGTGCTAGACGGGGCAATAACAGTCGAACCACAGGCAATGCTCAGGTTAGGTGGAGGATGTGAGCGTCTGCTGTGGATCAGTAGTACTTGGCTCTTGCTGGAGTTTAGGAGCAGGCCGCGACCTGTGAGGTGCTGCTTCACCACTGAAAAACTTTTTTCTAAGTAAGACACGAGAATTGGTGGACACTTTCCAGAGGCATACAGGGTGGTGTCGTCTGCATAAAGAAGGCATTGGGAACGCAATGGAAGAGTGGGGAAAAGTCGAGTGTAGATGCTGAAGAGGGTAGGGCCTATGACGGAACCCTGGGGAACGCCCCTAGTGCAGGTTCTACAGTCACTTGTGGTTCCGTTCACTTCTGCGCGTTGCTGTCGGTGAGACAGATACGACTTGAACCACTCAAGAGCATTTCCACGCCTAACCTTCAGACTGTGAAGGTCATCTATTAGCGTTTGGTGGTGGACGCGGTCAAAGGCTTTGCTCATATCGAGCAGCAGTACGGCCGTATAGTCTCCGGTATGCATGCTTCTCTGCCAGTTATTGATGGCAAGTGTTAAAAGGTCCTCAGTACTGTGGTTCCGCCTGTATGCAAACTGTTCATTTGGAATTGCTCCGGGTGTGATGTCCAGATGGTCGTGAAGCTGCTGGAGCACTAGCGATTCCAAGACTTTGGAGATAATGGGCAATAGCGAGACTGGGCGATAGTTCATTAGTTGGAACTGTCGTAGGGGTCGCCTTTCTTAAACACTGGACACACAGATGCTAGTTTGTAGGCTAACGGTAGCTCTCTCCCTCTGGTTGGTATAGTAAGGGACAGAAACGGGATAGCGCCGGGCGTGACACAAGCAAGCAAACAAACAAACACGAAATTAAAGCTGTGTGGTCCCTGGCTAGCGCCAGACGTTACTGAAGTAACGTCTTCTGCATAGCTACGGGAATAACTAGCATTACCCGCCGATGCCTATCCTCAACCTGCGAATAATCTATCCCGTAGCTCCACCTCTCCTTCCATCATGACCGAACATCAACTATACCTCTTCTTCTTCCTTTTTAATTATTAGAGCAATATCCATAGCCTGCACAGTCATGGCTGCTAAAATCCAGACGTCATGACTTCGTAACATGCATAATGTACATGTACGCGGAGTTTTGCGGACTACCCGTCACTATCTCGTCCGCCCCAGGATACCTAATAAAGGCTGATTCACTCGCATCTTCTGCTACATGTACTGTATCAGTGCGAGAAAGAACTTTGAAGAAGACGAGTTCGAGCATACGATACTGTATTGTCGTGATTTCTACCCTGCTTTTCATTGAAAACACTATCTGCATGACCTCCAAACCCTTTACCATGCAGATCACCAGCACTGATCAGGTGCATTGTACACAATTGTACATACTACTTCTTGAAATAGAACTATGGTACAATCATGAATTTATGCTCCTACCTACGAAAGGATGCCAAATTATGCTCCAAATTTTCAACCACCAAATTGCGCCAAAAATTATGCCGGCATAATCCGCTGGTACCTATGACTGACCCAGTAAAGCCTAAACAGATACATGCACCTCATAGATTTAAGGTATAGCGAACCACTTTGGCCATGAAAAAACCTTTATATTACAGAAGAAGTGCTGTTTTCTCTTTTCTAAGTTGGTCTCTAGCATGCATAGACTACGAAAAATGATATTCGCATGGGGGATACTTATGCATTTTGTTGTACTTATGGCCATTTAAAACTATCCCCACAGGAATACTGAAGTCACATCATTTCCGCATGCTAGAGAACAACGTAGAACAGAGAAAACAGCACTTCTTCGATAAATGTATAAGAAGAAAAGAGGACCAAAGAGCTACAAGTTACGCTGTATTATCCACTAACACCACCAGTTACTTTACATGCAATCAGCTCATGACACTGAAACTGACTAACGGTGCTGACGTTCTACACCTAACTGGCAATCAGCTCTAGCACATCTTGGATGTGCACTCCAACAGTCTTCCAGCTTGGAAGGTTCTAAGTTATAGAATAACTTAAACAGGCGAAGGTGAGCGCAACCAAGACAAGCACGGGCTGAAAGTCTCAGCTGTGAAGGACGTTGGCGGATGTACATGTTGTTGTTGCTGTTGCTGTTGTTGCTGTTGCTGCTGTTGCTGCTGTTGTTGTTGTTGTTGTTGTTGTTGTTGTTGTTGTTGTTGTTGTTGTTGTTGTTGTTGTTGTTGTTGTTGTTGTTGTTGCTGTTGCTGTTGCTGTTGTTGTTGTTGTTGTTGTTGTTGTTGTTGTTGTTGTTGTTGTTGTTGTTGTTGTTGTTGCTGCTGTTGCTGTTGTTGTTGCTGTTGCTGTTGTTGCTGTTGCTGTTGTTGCTGTTGCTGTTGCTGTTGTTGTTGCTGTTGCTGTTGCTGTTGCTGTCGTTGCTGTTGCTGCTGCTGTTGCTGTTGCTGTTGCTGCTGTTGTTGTTGTTGTTGTTGTTGTTGTTGTTGTTGTTGTTGTTGTTGTTGTTGTTGTTGTTGTTGTTGTTGTTGTTGTTGTTGTTGTTGTTGTTGTTGTTATTGTTGTTGTTGTTTATATTATTTTACATCGCATGTTAAACGGGCAGTTATGCACAATATTATGAAAACGATGACAACCAGGAAGAATAGTCAGAAATGAAGAGAAAAAGAAATGAAAATAGAAAATATTTTGAAGTACGAAAATGGAAGTAGCAATGAAGGGAGGCAGGGTTAAGACGAGCAGAAAAGGGATCTCAAATTTACAAGTCGGGTCATCGTAGCATGATTCTATCGAGCCTTTTCAGCAGGTTACGAAAGCCATTACATTTAACCGAAGTAAAGTACTTTGAAGTACGCGTAGCATGCATTTGAATTCACGGACAGATACGATGGACTTCATACAGTCGGGCAGGCCATTCCAGAGTCGGCAGCTGGCTAGAAGCGGTCGGCATTCGCCAGAAGCACTGTGGGCCAGGAGGAGGGGGAGGTTGCGTCCCGACCTCGAGTGGTCATGCCTGTCGGTGGGCCTTGCAATGCAACTCGGGACGGCAACAGCGCACTGACGATTCCAGAGCGGATTCGAAATGTCAGGAGTCGGAGCTTGCATTCCCCTCGTTCCAACACTGGGCAGACACCCAGCCTGGGGTACAGGGGAAGAGTGTGGGCCAATGGATGCTCATCGGCCACGCAACGGATGCAACGTTTATCCAGTTTGGCTACTGTGTTCCGCTGCTCAGCGGACAGCCCTGGGAGAAACATGTCGAGGACGATACTGGCAAGATCATCAGACAAGACGGTCAACCCACAATTCAAGGACGCATAGCAACATAACTAACAATACTTGTATGGCTCTAAAGATTTGAAGATCGATTGGAGGGAAGCTAAGCGAACATGGATTATCAAGAACCGAACGCCTCGGTACTATAGTACAGTACCTAGACCAAGACGATTTAGATTGAAAAATAGGCAGCATGCAGTAACAAGCAGCAGTCGTGCTTGTCTTGGCTGCGCTCACCTTCCCCTCCTTATGTGATTTCTATAACTTGGAACCTTCCAAGCTGGAAGACTGTTGGAGTGCACATCCAAAATGTGCTAGAGCTGATTGCCAGTTAGGTGTAGAACGTCAGTACCGTTAGTCAGTGTCTTGCAATGTTATCACATGAGCTGATTGTGAAGTAACTGGTGGTGCTAGTGAAAAATATAGCGCAACACGTAGCTCTTTGGTCCTCTTTTCTTCTTATAAATATTAATTAATCCTTGGCTCTCCACCCGAGTCTTCTGCACATGTTTTCACTCAGTAGTATGAATGCTTTACGTGCATGTATATGACCAGTTGTCTGGGAAAGTCGACCTTGGGGGATTCCCGCGTTTTGCGGAAACTACTGTCCATCAAACCTTCCACTCGGCAAACCTGCACGAAAGCACCACTCCCTGCTCAATACACAGTGTTTCGGGGAATTCACCCCTCATCAGTTGAGCCTGCGAGTTAGATGGTTTGGAGGCAACAACGTTGTGAATGACCGACGGTCCTCGGCGTCTGTTCGGCACCTCCATGAGCGACACTGACTCCCGCTGCTATCTGGTGTTCACGAGGTGTTTGTCGCGCTGGAAAGTTGAGGGACGGAGCG